ACTAAATTGTAAGAGTCAATTCAATGGATTGATACGTACCACTCATCTGTTTGTCCCTTAACCGATGGATGATTTGTCATGTCGGTAACTCATTAAGCTTCGGTGATTTATAGTCAACAATTACTTTCCATTTCCGGGCATCTCATCGCTAGTTGAAACGTCCACATCACAACTGTCCCGTAAGAGACCGATGAATGTGTCTGTCGGGCCTGACAGGCCCTATAGTCAACCGCTCCCATTATTTCAAAGCCGTATAGGAGCAACTTTTCAATGAAAGTTTCGTCAATTAGGTAATTCTCCATACACTATACTTTACCAGAGATTGCCTACAGAAAATAGCGTTGGAACAACGAAACAGGTCAGTGGCAATCTTCGTTCAACATTAAAATTCTAACAGTCTACAGTGTTGAACACATCCCAAATAAGTCAGATGGTTTTGGTAAAGGAGAATATTAACCTCTCCGTACTTTACTGAAAAAGCTGCCCTATACACCCAGTTGATTAGATGATGGAGGCACAGGCTAAGGTGTCGGTTCGCCACACATCAGGGCCCAAACTAAACTTGATCAAATAAATTGGGACAAGTCCTATTCAAATTCTGAATCACGCGGAGCAATTTTACACACATAATAGAGGGAACAGGGGTATTACAAAAATAGTTGTACTTGTGGATTCGAAGATGTTCACAAAGTTGACGGAGTCTTGGTGGTAATATGTGTCGAAGTGATTGTGTTCATCATGTCCTTTAGTTTAACGGACTCCTGAACATGATTTTGATTAAACAATCGGACGCGTTCCACTGGTCTGTGGTTCACGAGCAACATATTTGATCCTGAGGAGACTAATCTGTCGTTTGTGATGGGGGTTGGATCGGTTGTGTTGCCACTCTGTGGAGCTTCCATGGCCGACCGAATTATATAGGCTAACACCAAGCCTAAAATGGTGAGGACCGCTACCATTGTGATGAATCGAGCAAGTTTGTGATTTTCTATCAAACTGGAATAAGCTGCTTCTTCGTCAACTTGTTTGCAGCAAGTACAGCATAGTAGGTCGACGAATAATGACCGCTCAGTGATGGGATCTCCTGCGGTATAATGCCGATGATATCCGGCTGAAAGCGGGCTGTTTAACAATGCTTCACTGGACCGGCTCGGTCGGCCGTCAGACACCTTAAGCCGACCGATATCTCCGTTCATTTGTGACTGAGTTTGATCAAAACTGCTCAGCTTGCTTAGCCGAATTCCGGAAGTTCCTCGTTTCATCCTTAGTAATCTGGAGCCCACTGTCCCTGTAAGACTTCTGCGAATTGCAGAGTGAGTTACTAGACCGCCCATCGGTAGGTGTTCAGCTTCGGTTACACTGCTCAGGCTGCTCGTTTCTGGTGGGCTACTGGGTGTTGCATGGATTGCATGACTTGTGAAACCGAGGTTGCTGCCCAGATTGCTGAAGATAGCGGCCAAAGACTTCCTTCGCTGGCAAAACAAAGCCGCCGCCGACCTCTTTACCGGCACTTGCGTGTCCTGAGCATTATGTTGTTCAGTTTCAGTGTGTTGCTTCCGCTTTTTGGTCAAAGCAGCATTATCTAATATGGTGGATTTCGAAGGTGAGATAATATCATCTACTGGCTCTTTGGAATCTGACTCCACTGCATCAATGGACCTTTCGCCTTCCTGTGGACTTAATTCTCCGGTTCTTCTGTTCTCCTTATGTTCTTTCACCTGTTTATTCAAAGAAGACAGTAACTACATTACTATTACACAGATGCTTATTTGTCGTCAATTAGTGGTCTTTGGCACAATCTCGTGACATTAGGCTGAGCAACTGTGTTCTGATATACTTTCCTATCACCGGAACACTTACGCTGAATCCATTTAATAGATCCTTAATCGAGTAAAGTCATGAGTTGTTTAGGATGATACCGTTATGGCTTCAATTAGTGCATGTAGGCTTGGGGGGTATCCCTATTTAGCTGTCAAATCATCCACGAAGGAGCGCGTATTCTTCATTTTATATTGTAGCTAAGACACTGGGATATGTATTTTACATGCCGTGTCTGATCAACGTTTTGAAGATGATCACTAGAACAAAGTGCGCTGGAAACAAAAGTCAGATTTATAAAGCCGGCAGAAAAATGGTCTATCGGTGCATTCATTTAAACCAACTTCCCCATTCCAGTAAGGTGGTTGTTGTGCCCCGAACCCAGTTATCATTGGCACTCGCCCCGGGGATCGATCAGACCATTACCACCACCTAATATGTGGATGAAGCAACGAACCAGAAATTGTGACCTTAGTGCTGTTTCTACTAAAAATGACCTCATAGCCTAAGCCGCACTAGTTTTCAGCCGATGCGCTGTCTGTACAGTACAGCCTGCAGGTATCCGATACAGTAAAGCATAACATTCCAGCCAGCTTTAAAGCGGAATAGCTATTCTTTAACGGTTCACCTAATGTTTGACCCTCAGATCAATCATTACCCTGAGGAGTTAATCGAACTGTTTTGGTGATATACTATCTTGTATGACTGCATTTACCGTACTGCTTTCCCCTATATCGCGCGTTTGTTCGGCTCTACCCTGTCATGAAATGAATGATATCTACTTCATCGCACCTCTCCACCGTGTAGGCCACCTGCCCTGCCAGCTGTAAAAATATCAACGATTTTCATTTAGATTTAGTTTTCAGCACTCTTATTTCACGCACCAGGCTCCTTTCGTTATGGGTCGGGTGTTACGTATGCCAACCCCCAGACTCCTGCACCGTACACTGCGCGACCTGGTTGTGAGTGGAAGAAGATAAACAGAGACCAACTGAAGACTTGCTGTAAAGCAATGAGGATCATCTCTACGAAGTTGACCTCGGTTTGGGTCTCAAGAACAATGAACAAATTTGCTTGAATGCACTTGTTAACATACAGAAGAACCAACATCAGTGGTTGTATCGTGCGTTTCTTTGTCTTTCCTCTCCTGCTTTGCCACTTCCTCCAACCACGACCTCATCCTCTCACGTGCATAATATGATGAAACAACGTGATATTAATTGATTGCTGGGTCCTTTTGACCCGCCGTGGTCCAGTGGCTAAAGGGATAGAAACTTCAACTAAAATCCCGATGACCTTGGCTTTGATGCCTGCTATCTCCATCTGATGAGATGCGATAAATTCAAAAGGTTAGGGGAGTGCATACTCTTCAGGCAGATGACAATATTCATCCCTTCTATTCTATTGCGTTTGATTTTGCTCGTACTTAGTTTCTCACTTTCGTATATATTATTCCTTGGCATTGCAGTTTAATGGCTGCTTTTCTCACCCTCAGCTAGTGTGTAGAATCAGAAACCGATTCAGACTCCGAAACCAAGGTGTAGACTACGCTTACTGTTCTTTTCTGTGTCAGAGATAGCCGCAGTTTCCATAAACTTATTTGCACTGAAAATCCTCCCGAATCTAATTCAGAGGGCGCTACCTATCCGTTGTTCCGTCATTTCGGACTCTAATGAGTTGTACCGCTCCGCCTGGGCTTCTGCGTCCCAAATTATCAGCACAGCGTAGTGAGCTGTATCTGACAAATTAGTCTAATTACCTTCCTGTGTACACTGTATCGTAAGACATCTCCTTGATGGTATTCGTAGTTCCTAGGATACACACCTTAGGAGGTTCTCTTTACGCTTTATCGTATCAATTGTAAACTAGCATGCGTATTCTCTATTTGACCATCCCGGTACATTAGTAATAGAGTTTGTTAAACTGTTCATCAGTTATGCTCTCTTTTAACTTAAAAGTTCGTGTTGGGTTATTTATTTCACTCTAGTGTACAATTAATTTTCGGAGATTCCAATGTCCCTGTGGCTCATATAAATGGGACTTGTAAAGCAACGCTTCTTAACCCGTATAAATTCATTGTTCATCATTGTTTATAATAAAAACACTGGTCTTCGTCTCATTGTATGCTAATGGCTGAGCAGAGTTTAGTCGCAAACTCGAAATGAATGCGCTGCATTTTATACACTGGACTACCGGATTATGTCCTTATTTACCGGCTAGGTTAGTGGAAGATACAACACTTTGTCGTAATTGGTGCGTTATTGCGTATATCCAAATGGGTTCCCTGGTCGTGTTTCATATACAACCAGACTGATTTCTGTGTAATTGTTCGGTAATGCTGCTTGCCATTCTGTTCACTATGCCTTTTATCCAGACATCTTTCACTGCGTCTCGTGATAACATCGTTCTTTCCTGGAGTTGAATTTGCTCCATAACAATGGTGGATGTAATCCAGACGGTAGACCATTGTAGTATAATTTGCCACTATTTTAGTCTCCATTTGTCCGAACGATGTCCGCAATACTACAACGGATTCTGCGATGTCTGATACATTGGGTGTCTGGCAATAACACATGCGCCAACATAATGCTACTCTGTAGTGCAAAATGATTCGTCCGCTGAATTTTACTTCCTACATCCTGAACTCCCCAAGTAACTGCAACTTTTCTAGTTTTGATAAAACGCTGAGGGAATTTTATATTTCGTAATTGTTTTCCCTTTACTTAAAGATTATCCGGTAAGTGCCCCGCAGTTTTGCGTATTTTAGAAGCTTCTAACATGTTTCTTATCAGCGCTTCTACGGCGAAGATTTCATAGTATACTCTATGTTCAAATAGACACTTATTATTACCTTTTCGTTGTTTGGACCCAGCCTTGCAGATGCGCGCTTTTTCTGGTCACTCGTACTGTTTATATCGACTTGAGTAGGTTCACCTTCTTCGACTGACCCCGTCCGAACTTCCTCTTCTTCATCGTCCGTGATGACACACCAACCGGGAAACTGAGCTGACGGGCTGAGCTTCGGATCAATGCAGCTCGTCGATGGCTGGCCCTCCAACTCCTTGGAGCCACTTGTACCTGTCGATTCCTTGATTCCATTACTTCGTTGTGTATCATCCAAATCGCGTTGCTCTACAAAAGTGACTTTCGGTATATTCAGTAGGACGGAAGCAGGTGGTTGTTCGCCGAGTGAAGTTTTGCTACTCACGGCTACATGGATTCCACTGGGTTCATGGCAAGTGGCGGCAACGTCAGAAGGCACAACGTGTTGAGCTTGTGGGTTGACTTGAGTGAGTTGGAGATGGGGATCTTTAGTACCTTCTGTGGATGTTGTGTGCACAATGTCAGGGGATTTTGGTCGTAATCGCCTTGGCTGTACAATTTCTGGTGGTGGACGGGCGATTAATGGCGGAGACACCAGTGAAAGGGGCATCCGCACTCCCAACTACATCAGAGAAGGAGAATGAGTAATATAGGGACTGTCACAAAGGAATATACACGTGCATTTACATGGTACTTTGTGACCTACCGGAAAATGAGTTTAAAAGGGTCACGTGTTCACTTGATTTGGTTTTCATTCTGTACCTCAGTTTATATATGACTCGGATGAAATCGGATGGGGTTCATCTACCGCCGTTATCCGTAGTTGCGGTTATTTTACCAGCGAAATTCCATTAAACAAATCAGCCTGTAGATAGCGTTAATTCATTCAATCTTACGTACTTTTTGTACTTTCTTGTTCTTCATAGGCAAATATGCCTGAGCTAGTTACCGTCGACGTTAGTAAACAGCTAGTTCAAGATACAGTTGCACTTAAACACTCATGAGTTACTTGATATCTTTGTCAAATGTAAACACACCGTGACACTTGAAAGTCCACTTAAACCCATACGTCAAAGCTGTTGATCACGGTATTTAGGTTTTTGAGAACTGTCGCAAGTTGTGCTGGATGATGATAAACATCACATGAACATTTAGTTCGATTTTATTTGAGGAATTTTAACGCCCCCTGCAATCGTGCTTTTCACATTACAGCAATTTACTTCGAGTTCCTGCTGACTATTAGGAGTGTTTCCAATGTATTACGGGCTGTCATTATCATCCTCACAATCCAAAATTATAATATCAACGGCAACTTGCACTCCGGGTAATTCTAGATATTGCGATTCGACCATGGGAGCTTTGTAGGCAATAGGTCTGAGGTGCACACTTTCACAAATTGCTTTTAGATTCCACATCATTAGGACTCCCTTGGTTTTGTTCCACGCATAAAGCTTATGACATACACAACCATTGTATCATATCTTGTCCGGGATAATCCTTGTTCGTCCGCGGCCCTTCCTTGTACCTTTGCGGCAATCCGCAACGCAATAAAGGCTAAGTTGGTTAGGTCTTCTTCCGATAGTAGGAGGGCCTGCACGGTTGTACCTTGTCCGCAGTGGCTGGCTGTTAACACACACAGTGGGTCAAGCTGCGCTCATTGCCAAGGGTCAACTACCAGTTGAACCCAAAGGAATGGATTGGAATAAGGATTTAACTTGCTTGAAGAAGCCTATGATTCCTCCAGGTGTTCGTTGTATGACCCAGAGAAATGTGTCCGTGCTTCATATAGACCGGGTACACAGACACGTGCGATTTCCCGATTTTGATGAGCAACAATCTAAAACATTCACAAGTATAATTTCGTGTCTCCTGTCCGGATGCACGAAGTATGATGGCACACTAAGTTGTCTCGGACTTCGCTCGCTTTGGCCATTCCAATTCTCCTCACATTTGCTTGTGTGTGCACTCGTTCCAAACACATCTTGGATCCAACTTATGTGGAGCATAACCTTGGTTCAGTTCTCAGTTTTGGCACATTCCTTGTCAAGTTCTACGTGTACACTTACATCAACCCTAAGCTTATGGGCAAACATTTGGGTCTCATTTGGAAGAAGAAGAAGCTGATGACTCTCAAACGACCTGTAAACATCCATGCATCCCGCAGCATAACAAAAGTATGGGTCATTTCGTGTCGCTCATCTACTAAACCTCTCGTCCGAGATATTTAAGGACGCTTGTCAAGGCCCCGCTTTCATCGTCGCGTAATACGAGTCGACCGATACACGCAGTCGCTTCCTGTGTGTGTGTGTGTGTGTACAACCGCGAGGCGATCGAACGTCTGCAACCCGCTCGCGACCGCAAATAAGAGAAGCGGTAAGACAGCCATCTGTCTCGGCCGACCAACCTTGATGCGGAACAACCAATTCATGGTGCTGATTTGGACTAACCGTCAACACTTTCGTGTGATCTGATGGACGCGTGTGGCAGACGCAGGGTGCCTCAAAGCGCCTGTAGAACGTGCAAAGTGCGTGACATATACGGAACCGGCAGTATTACCACGAAAACTGCAGGCCGGATATCAAGGTTATAGGTGAGATGAGCACGCCATCCGTGCCAACTGCTGAGGTCCCGGGTAACCCATTATTTGTCTCTCCCCCGGTGAATAACTTTGTACTGCTTCGTGCTTTCATTACAACTCGCACCGTGGGTATCGATATTTGCTCCGAATAACCTTAGCTGACACCAACTCTTACGGACAATTGTGCTATTCTTTACCTTCCATGCCATATCAAAGCGGTTTCAGTCCAACCCCCGGTATTAGATAAGATTGCGCCCACACTGTGTAACATGCTTAGGAGTTTCACCACATATCAAATAGTGATATTCTCCAGTCACACTGACTCATACTTCGTGTTCAACCATGCACTACCATTTGCTCCGAGATGCATTTCACACAGCCTACCATAAGGAGTAAAGTGAACAAATTGCGCGCGGTTATTGACGCAGTAAAAAGGCCGAGTCCAGTCGGCTGGCAGACTAGGATAAGTGGTCCAGTCGCGTAATGAAAATTGAAGTAATTTGCCTCATTTACAAATCACGTGAAGACCCGGTAGTCTTGGAACTGAACGGGGAATTTAAGGCATGAGAGATTTCAAATATAATACTATTTTGTTTAATAGTACCTTAGAAAAAACCCGAGGTCCTCTCCTGAAACAAAACTCTAGAATTTAAGAATCACAGTTTACCCTAATGAACTGGTTCATCACAAGATACCCATGCCAAGTGCCAGGAAAAACAGACAGCTAATACACGAAGAACCGCAACAGGAAAGACGTTAACGTAGAGTAAAGAAATATACGTTTACTCGGCGAAGTTTCCAATAGGGCAACAGAATTTATCTGACAGGCAAAAGAGTTGCGCTGAGACGCAAACAAAGTGAACACATTACACGATTATTTTGAGCCATACCCGTACCGCTCACTTGCGCACATCGGTAGGTACATATATAGTCCAGTGATTTCAGTCACAGTTTGCCTCAGCGTGAGCACCGTAACTTATAGAGGTGCAAGTGGGACGATTCATCTCTTACCTAATACAGTGTCAATGGCCGAAGCACAATGTGTGCATGCGTTTCTCTGTCCAAAGAAGCGATTCCAACCCATGAAGACGAGGCTAGGGTATTGAACGACAATTGGATTGGGATAACGAGCCACAGCCAAATAATGTTGCCGTGCGATTTTGAACAAATATTTATGTAAACGCCATGGTTGCCTTGCATGCGCGTCACTCGATAGAGGTGAACGTAATACCGAAAGCGTAGGAGGAAAGAGACAACTGGAAGCAGGTCGCTTGCACGCGGAAAGTGCACGTGCAAACTTGCCGTAACTGGATACAGGTGGAGGAATCGACGAAACCGGTGAGACGACACGGGCAAGTCTGTCGTAGAGCACTGGGAGCAATCCATCTGGATTCTCTGGTGGAGTGGGTTTCTGCAGAGCCTGCCGGTAACCTGGAACTACTTCGGTTGTGGTTGAAAGTGGAGTTCGAAATTGCAGTAAGTACCAGCACCAGTTCACGATATTAGGATGGTAGACTGATAACAATGAAGAAGCTGCAGACCATTCCGGAGTCAATGAACACGCTGGAGACAAAAATAGTGACGCAGATCGTTCATTTTGGCGCTCATGTATTATGAGGTGGAAGGAAGGCAACCGGTGTGGATTGATGAGACCAACTTCAACTTTTTTGCGCTCACAGTCATGACCGCTCACGAAGTGGTAGCCGAGCGCGGTGTACCTTGGTGAACAGCCGAGGACCGAGTGTTCATCTTGTCACCGCCATGACAAACAACGGCGTGTTCGGATTTGAGAGCAAGTTACAACAAGCAACGGTGCGCTCATTAGCTGCGACAACTGCTTGATGCCAAGGGAGCAGGGTGTCATTTTATTTGCGAAAACATGCCCTGTCATACTGCATCTGAAGCACGTTTTTCTGAGAGAACTGTACCTCTTTGGTAGACTTCTACGCCTTGTGCCGTGCTATCCAGCACTAAATCCCAACCAGGACATTTGGAGAATAATAAATGCTCATGAAAACAGATAATGAGGAGATGGTATTCCGAGATGTTCTTGGAATACACTGAAGACGCTCTGAGTAAAAGCGCTTGGCGAACTCGCTTTCTGGAGCATGTGGTGTAGGAAACACGAGCACTAGTGATGCAACAGCACTGCAAACAAATGGTTTAACACATATGTAAGAAATGTAGACGTGTTGTTCATTTGGCCGATCTGTAAAACATTCCACTGGCAGTAAACTACCTGTTTTAAACGAGTGTTGTGTTTACTTTATTACGAGGACGGGACACAGTGCACTATATACACGGTTAGAACTAGTCAGTCCTTTATTAGGGTAAACGTCGTGGAGTTCCGGGAAGGTGGTGCACGTGGTCGCGTCGCGTACCCGTTTTAGTCGCCGCAATGTACAACCATCGTTCAAGAGCTTGACAAATAGATGGGACCCAAACACGGTTGTGTGGCAAGCAATTGCGTTTGACTACCTGTCATGCTTGGAGTTTGGAGAGCCAGAGAACAAGGATTTTGATAACGGCGTATTAATAAGAATTTTGAACTACGCAGACTTGACGGACATACGTTATGTGTGTGTGTTCGTTTGCCGAATTGCTTAATCGATTACACCAGCACAGGCGGCTGCACACTGCTTAATCTCATGCAAAGATGATCAATGCGGAAACGCAGAGCAAGTAGGAAAAACCCAATTAAAGTTTATCACGATCACTAGGGAAATATTTCCGAATGGAGACTTGTCAGTTGCGGACTGTATTCGAGCACACCACAGGGTTGCGGTGAAAACGTGCTTTGAAGCGACAAATAAAATCTTCTCGCTTCGGCGAATCACATTTACTAGTCAGGTGGTAGCGCCTGCACAGGGATGATCGGTCCCGCGTAACGCAAACTGGTCTTTGCGTTCGTGTGCAATTTGCCCAAGTACCGATATATTAACAAGTGGAAGTTGATAACTCGCTCCACCCCAATTCCACCTGCGTAAATGGTGCGGTTATGGCCGCATATCAACTGCGACCATATCTCATGCGTGTTTTCCTCA